TTGTTGTTGTTGTTGTTAACTGTCAAACAGTCAGTTCTGACTCATAACAACCCTGTATGAGGTTTCTGAGGACCAGGTGGGAGGTTTGAACTTTCGACCTGGTGGTTCACAGTCCAGTGCTGATCCTACAGAGCCACATCAGGAATCCCACTATATGCTGGTGGTGGTTATGTGTTCGAGAGTCGGCTGCGACTCACAGCGACCCTGTATAGTGTTTCCAAGGCTGTAAATCTTATGGGAACAGAAAGCCTCATCTTTCTCCCACAGAACCACTAGCAGTTTCGAACTCCTGACCTTGAGATTAGCAGCCCAACTCATAACCACTACACTACCAGAGCTCCTTCAATATATGCTAGTGAGTACAAACATAGGCCATTATTTTGGTAATCTTAACAAATGCAATCAGAGACTATAAAGTTAGAGTGTGGGGGCAATAAAACTAAGGAATAACACTGCTAAGTTTTTTATGGAATGTTGTCCATGAAACCCCAATGTGGAAAAGGTATGCCTAAAGACTCAAAATGAAGCACTTATATTAGCAATTAACTAAATTCAGGAATCATTACTAATATTTTTAAGACTGAGAAAATATTAAGTAATAAATATATCCAGATTTTGCTTCACAGGCAAATTAAAGGAAGCGAAGGGAGCAAAATTATAATAAAATACATTGAACAAAATACATCAGACAGAACATATCAAAGCAAAATAAACTATAACAAGGCTCAAGAATGAGTCATGTAACTTACCTGAACACTACTTTTTTTAGTCCTGCATTTAATGAGATAATTCTTCAGTAGGAGTGTTCTGGTCTGTCTCCAAACTCCCACCTCCCTGATTGCAGTCGCCATGTTTCCTAGACAAATCTATTTAAGGAGAAAAAAATAAACAAAACACAAGACTGAAATCCAATGTTTAAACATGTGTCTTTTTTTTTTTTTTTTAACTTTTTATTATGAATTGGGTGAAGAGCAAATCTGTTTTCCATTCAACAATTCATATATGTCGTTGATTACAGTCATTGACAGTGATCATGTCATTGATTACAATTTCCACAGTGTAACATCATTTATCCCTCTTCCTCCCTGTATTTCCCGTTTAAACTCTTCTTTCTTTCCTATCCCTTCAGAACACTGCCCTTGGGCAAGCGCTGCCCTTTTCATCTCAAAAGGTGGATTATTCTAAGGTGTGCATATCTTAATAGTGCTACTGGTTCCCCTTATAGGCCCATCTACTGTTTGCCTGAAAGCCCTGAAGGGTGACTGTGGGCCATAGTCTCAAGGGTCCACCAGTCTTGACTCACAACTAGTAAGCCAGATCTTTTTCATGATTTTGAGTTTGTTCCACATTTTTCTCTCACTCTGTCCAGGATTTTCAATTGTGATTCTTTTCAGAGCATCTGGCAGTGGTAGCCAGGCACCATCTAGTTCTTTTGGTCTCAGGATCATGGAAGTTGAAGGTCACATGGTCCATGAGTCCAATGGAGTCATTCATTGTTTCCTATTGCCTTCATTCTTCTTTGTTCGGATGGGATGGGGGTGGGGGCACCAATCCATGTATCTATTCATGCCATGGCTCTTATTTCTCTAGGATATATACTAGTAGTGCAATTGATTCATACGGTGTTTCTATTTCTAATTTTTTAAGGAAATGCCATACTGTTTTCCACACTGCTTGGACCACACTACATCCCCACCAACATGTATAAGGACTCCAGTCTTTCCACATCTTCACCAACATTTGTTGTTTTCTGTGGTGGGGTGTTTTGTTTTACTTTGCTATTAATGTTGGGTGAGATGATATCTTGTTTTTTTTTTTTAATTTGCATCTCTCTAGTGATGCCGTTAGAAGTCCTGGTGTGGCACTGTGGGTTAATGCGCCAGACTGCAAAGCCATTTGAACTGCAAGTTCGGTGGTTCAAGCTCACCAGCTGCTCCTTGGAAACCCTATACAGGGTCACTATGGGTCGGGATCGACTCAACAGCACTTAACAACAACAACAACTGTGATGCCGTTAAGGAGCTCTGGTAGCGTAGCGGTTACAAATCGGGCTGCTAAACTCAAGGTCAGCAGTTCGAACCTACCAGCTGTTCCACGGGAGAAAGAAGAGGCTTTCTGCTCCCATAAAGATTTATAGCTGCAGAAACCCTTTAGAGGTAGTTTCTAGAGAGCTTCCTTAGATTTATGTAGAGGCTTCCAAAAGTTCATGGAAAAATTCCATTATCTTTTAATTCCATTTTTCCATGAACTTTTTGAAGGTTCCTTATATATGCAATCAATATTACATCATTAGTCCCTATATTCCAAAGTAACAGGCACCTATTGCTTAGTGCCATTGAATCAGTTCTGACTCATAGAAACCCTATATAGGGTTTCTAAGAAGCAGGTGGTAGGTTTGAACCACTGACCTTGTGGTTAGCAGTCCAGTGCTGATCCTACAGCGCCACACAAGGCACTTAGCCATCTGGAAACCTATATCTACAGTCACTGACCCCATGGAGACCTGTGGCATCTGTCTTCCTAGCAAAACTGGCACTTCTATAGAAGAAAGGACGTCAAGGACATCTTGATGAATATTTGGAAGACTAATAAAGACTGCCTTGATATCCTGACTTTTCTTTGTTTCTTGGACTGTAACAAGCACTATACTACCACGTTTCATGAAAACACTCAGTTTATGCTGTGTGTTACCCAACTCACCAATTACACAAACAACTACTCAATCTCTAGCATTACTCTAATTTCGTTTCCACCTAGAACTCTCCAACATCTTAATTCTAAAAATGGTACCAACCATCCCTCCCACAGCGCTCTCTACTCCATTGGGCGCAATAATCCATCATGGTGGTTACACAGAACTCGGACACCACGCTCACAGTTTCGGGACTGATAAGGAAAGTTAACAGTTCAGGGCCAGAAACACGCAGGAACCAGTTGTTCTAGTCAGGATAACCTCTTCCCAGACATGCCCGCAAGCAGGCCTCTCCCTGGCACTTGGCCTCTCAGCCATGGACTCCGTGGCCTCTGCCCAGCTCCAGCTAAGTCACAGAGCTCTTCCAGGGTGGCTGATAAATGCCCTCAGGCACTCCACTTAGCTCTAGGCTTCAGTCCACCACGGGCACTTGGCTCTAGCTCCACTGGTCAGTACACCTGACTCGCCAAATTAAGTGCCTGAAGGTCCCCTTCCATAAGAGAACCTGAAGTCACTCAGTTTGACTCATTCTGTGGGCTGGGAAGCCCAGGGCTCTGTCTGGTGCTGTGGTTCATGGCTCTGCTGCTGTCTTCTGATGTCACTGCTGTGTTTCCTGGGTCGAGGACCTGGGTCAGAGAGGTTCAATGCACAGGGATTTCAGGATCCAAAGGCCACATGCCCGCCTGGCTCTCCCCTCCTGCATCGGAGAGGACTCATCTTCTACCCAGCAGGATGATAAAACTGAACAATCACAATTAGCCCTGCTAACAATCACACACAACTGATTTCACTCAAATCATTTCCCTACAGATAATATTCTTTGTTATTCTCTAATTGCCCTCAAAAGATTTTCATTGTCTTGTCTTTATTTTTGAGCAGTTTAATTTTTGTGATGCAGTGAATAATTTCATGTCTTTTCTACCCATGTTGTTGTTATGTGCCGTGGAGTCAGTTCTGACTCATAGTGACCCTGTACAGGGTTTCCGAGGCTGTAAATCTTTACAGGAGCAGAAAGCCTCATTTTTTTCCCACAGAACAGCTGGTAGTTTCGAACTGCTGACCTGAAGGTTTGCAGCCCGATTCGTAACCACTATGCTACCAGAGCTCCTTTAGTCTTTTTAAACTCCCAGGTACAGTGGAAAAGTCTTTTGGTGGGAGTTTACCAGCTATGGCTAGAAGAGACATGAAAACCGGGGGCAGGCTTGCAGGGTATCACGTTTAGTTGACTGATAATGCATGGAAGGGACTGCAACCATGGCAATGAAACGATATAGATAGGATGAATGTAAAGCTAATTTTCTCCCATGTAAACTATTACATAATTCACAATAAAACAGTTAAATATATATGTTTGCCAGTTGAAAGAAGAAAAAGGTATAACTTCATCTGAAGGAAATTTCAGTTTATGTGTAAGGGGCTTTAAAAAGTTTGTGGACAAACAAAATTAACAGAGAATGTAATTTTTCACAAATTTTCTGAAGTCCCACATAGATATATACAGCATGTAAGAAAATGATAATAAAACATGGATCATAAAACTACCTACGTAGTAATAAGGTTTCTGCATTCTATTTACAATGATCAAGCACAAGTCCAAGGAGACTGCCAAAAGAGGAACGTGTCTGTTTTGTAAGCCCTAGAAGTAGTCACTGTACAAATACCCAAAACCTTATCCAAAAGGGAATACTGAAAACACAATAGAAAATTGTAAATGGAATACTAAAATGTGATTTTAAAACTCCAAAAACACGAATGAGGAAGCAAGCGCCAAAACCATAGAGGGTAAACCAGAAAACAAATACTAAAATGACAACCCTAAATCCACACCTAGCAATCATTATATTACATGCGAATTATCTAAAAACACCAATTAAAAAACAGTCAAAATTAAGTTTTTAAAGTAAACTCAGATATCATTTTATATGAAGTGAATTTCTGTCTACAAGATCTAATCTCCCCCTCAAAATCCAAAGCCACTGCCTTCAAGTCAGTTCTGACTCAGTCACCCTAAAAGACAGCGTGGAAACCCCCCACGGGCTCTCCAAAGCTATAAGCATTTGCTCAGGCAGACTTTCACATCGAGGTCCCGCAGAGCAGATGGTGGGGTGAAACCACCAGACTTTCTGTTAAAAACTGAGCACTTAACCACTGTGCCACCAGGTCTCCTACACGTTGTTGGTAAGTGCCATCGAGTCAGTTCCGACCCAGAGTGACCGAGGTTCCGAGGCAGTGAATCTTTACAGGAGCAGAAAACGGTATCTCTATCCCTTGGTGCAGCTGATGGGTTTGAACTGCCGGCAGACCTCACCATCAGTAGTCCAGTGCTTACCCTACAGTGCCACCAGTGCTCCTTATGTTGTTGTTGTTGTTAAGTATCGTCGAGGCAATTCTGACTCATGGAGACCTTGTATAGGGTTTCTGAGGAGCATCTGGTGGGTTTGAACCACCAGCCTTGCTATTAGCGGTCCAGTGTTTACCCTAAGCGCCACACCAAGACTTCATATATTGATATAGGGAGTCTATAAATAAAAGAATGGAAAAAGATGCGCCATGCAAACACTAATCCAAAGAAAGCTGGAGAGACTTCATAGCAAGAGAAAATCATCCAAGATACATTATATATGATAAAAATGTCCATTTGCCTTAAAGACAGGACAATCCAAAATGTATAGTCCGTTCACCAAGAAGATGGAATGAACGAAAAAGTTTATGTCTCCAACAGAGAGCTTCAAAATACATGAAGCAGAAATGGCAGAAGTCAAATTGCAGTAGATGAATCCACAATTATAGCTGAAGACTTTAACACTTTCTTCTCAAGACCAGAACTAGTAGACTAAAAAATAAACAAGGATACAGAGGAACTGAACCCCAAAACCAAAAGTATTAAATATGTGAGCTGCCCACCCTCAGTTCGCGCCAGATGGTTCTGCTTCGGCAACCCGTAGCCCCAGTGTCATGATTAGTGATGGCGAGTCCGCCTGTGACCTACATTTGTTTTATCTACTTAATCATTACACGGAGGATTTGGAGAAGCTGTTCATTCCTCATGGACTAATGATGGACAGGACGGAGCAGCTTGCTCGAGATGTGATGAAAGAGATGAGAGGCCATCACGTTGTAACCCTCTGTGTGCTCAAGGGGGGCTAAAAGTTCTTTACT